GGCAGTAATGCACCGGTAATCTCTCACCGGTTATCTCTCAGTAATGACCGGTTATCTCTTGGTGGGAGGCACCAGCCGTGCCGGTGTGAGGCAGAGATGTGAGCAGAGGATAACAGGGGCCTGTCTGGGCCTGTCTTGCCTTCAAGTGGGAGATTAAGCGCCTTGCTGCACACACAGAGTGTGGCTCCCCCACCGCCAGCTCCCTACGTCTGTCTGTTTGATGTGAGTGTGTAATGAAGGGCCCAGGTCTTGGCCGAGGCATAGTAGTTTGATGGTGATCTAAGAGTTGCCCTGTTTAACTGCAGAGAGAGGCTCCTAGGCAAAAATGCGGTGGGTCCTGCCCTGCTCAAAGGCTGAGGGACTGTGTTGTGGGACCTCAGGCTTGGGAGGTGTTTGGTAGAGAGAGCTCAGAGGCTGCTGGCATGAGGGGGGATGTCTGGGCAGGGTCTACGGATTGAAGGATGTCCCCAGGCCCCCACCCGGGAGTGGCATCTTGTGCTCTGGTGCATCCCTGCCTGCTGCCAGTGGCACGGCTCGGAGGTGAGACAGCCTGCGTGACATGCCAGGGCACGGTGACCACGTGGCACTGCCTTGGTTCCTACCCTGCCAGCATCTCGTACCAAATCCACAGAGGCTCCCCGGACCTGGGGGAACTGCATGGAGCAGAGGGAAAGCCACAAGCGTGGCTCCTGGCCCCACCGGCTGTAGCAGAGTCCACTCAGGGCTGCCAGCTTTGGATCAGTGAATCCACCTTCAAGAGGGAAACGGAAACAACGTGAGTGTTTCCTTCCTCTTCAGCCTGCATCCATGCCAGGAAGGACCAGTTTTATCTAGGAGCCCTCGAGCTGCGAGGGTGACATCGCTGTCACTTTCCTCTGCCCGATGCTGTAGCCCAAAAAGAGCCTTTGCTAGATCGCAGTCTCCTGTGAGTCTCAGAGCCACATCTGGGGTGTGTTTGAGATGGGGACAGAGGTGCTGTTTTTGGGGGACAAGTACCAGAGACTGAGTTGCTGTCTACAGGGGATGGGGCAGGGGTCTGGGTGCTCCTGGCAGCAGTGACAGCCCTTGTTCTGCCCACTCCAGCCTGGCCAGGACGTGCCTGTGCCTGGCCTCGTCCCCGACCCGCTCTGGTAGTGCCTCCAGCAGAGCCAGGCCAGGAAACTGCCCGCTGACATGAGGGTTTGCAAACACGAGCAGAGCTCAAAGGACTGAGTTTCCTGTCCCTGTTCCTGTCTGAGCTGTGTCAAGGAGCGTGTGAAGCTGCGCTCTCCCACCAGCCATGCTGGCTGTCCTGGAGCCAGGCATGCAGGAGAGCTGGTGCGGGGGGACAGGGAGACCTGGGTTATGGGGATGGAAGGATCCTTGGGGTAGGGAGGAATTTGGAGCTGGGCTTTGTCAGGCTGGAGGTGAGGGGCTGAGCCAGGCCTGCCTGGTATCACCCTGGTGCCTGCCAAACATCTGTACAAGGTCTCCTGCCATGACTCTGCTCCCACATCCGTGAAGTGACTTTACCCTGCATCTCGTGCCGCTGGGGTGTGGCCATGCCCCTGGCTGGTGTGCAGGATGTGGCTACCCAGGTGGGAATGACCAGGCTCTCAGCTGGCACTAAGCAGTGCTGTGCTGGTGGCTTAATTGGAGGCCATCTCCAAGGTCCAGTAAAGTTACGTCTGTGGGAGCTCTGGGCTGCTGGGTTATGTTCTCACTGTCAGGAGGAGTGGTGACTCAGGGACCTCATCCAGGAAATTGGGGGCTGCTAACGCATCCCCCGCCCGTTGGTTTGTTATCACCGAGTCCAGTGTGCATGGGTTGATGGCCGTGGTTTCGCTCTCTCTGCAGGCCACGATGCTGCGTCTGGCTGCTTTTGCAGCACTGCTGCTGTTCTTCAGAGTCAGTCTGGAGCTGTCCTGGGCCCAGGCCATCCCCGCTCTCTTCATCTTCTACCTGGGATCCGGCGGATGGGACTTCTTCCTCATATTCATCAAGACAATACGAAGGGACGTCACGTAGGTGTCGTGGCTGGGATGGCCCAACCATCCACCCTCCCCCTGGCCCACTGCTCTGCCCCGGTGCATGTGTGAGCACAGCCCCCAGCTCTGTGTACAGCTCCAGGTTTCTGCTGGCACCCGGCCCAGCTGGAAGGAGATCTCCCTCTGCTGTGGCTGGGTGGCTCCAAACTCTCGGGCAAAGTTTTCACAGGAAAGATAGATTTCAGCTGAGTTTGAAGTCTAGTGACTGTCCTTGTACTTCACCCTGTCCCTAAAGCTGCTGGCGTGGCACCAGGTGTCTGTGCAGGGTCAGTTCTGAGTTGGTACCAGGCTGTGCTAGCTATGGGCAAGGATTTGTGGGGAGGAAGTGGTGGAATCTCTTGGAGAGCACCTGAGGTTCAAAGATGCCCCTTTGATCAGGGACATCCCTGTTTGCAGCCTTCCAAAACACATCTCTCCCTGGCCTCCATCAGTTCCTGGCTATAAGCATATTTGCAGAGGACCTCTGCCTATGTCCATGTGGCTCAGGGGAGCACCCAGAGCTGCTGCTGACCTAGAGTAGGGCCTGGAGCAGTGCTGGGCTATTGCAGCTCCTAGCACGGTCCTCATGCTGTGCTGGCTTTGCTGGAGGAAGTGGTTTTGCAGGGGTCACTGAGCAGCTGCCCTCTTGCTCCCCTTCCTTTGGCAGCACGGGGCTGGTCCTGTTGCGGGTGAAGTGGCAGGTATGGAGGCACTTGAGGGAGAAGAACACAATTGCCAAGATCTTCCAGAAGACTGCGAGCAAGTATCCGGAGAAGACGGCGCTGATTTTCCAAGGCACAGGCGAGAGCTGGACGTTCCGGCAGCTGGATGAGTACTCCAACCGGGTGGCCAATTTTTTCCACGGCCAAGGCTTCCGCTCTGGTGACGTGGTGGCTCTTTTCATGGAGTCCCGCAATCAGTACGTGGGGCTGTGGCTCGGCTTGGCCAAGATTGGGGTGGAGACAGCCCTTGTGAATTCCCACCTGCGCATGGAGGCCTTGCTGCACTGCATCACCATCTCCAACTCCAAGGCTGTGGTTTTTGGGGTGGAGATGATGGAAGGTGAGGGGTAGGCAGATGCGTCAGGAGTGCTCTGAACTTGGGGGAGCGTGTCAATGGATTTAGTGCTCCTTTCCTGCCCACCACAGAGCAGGGATCTGGAAGAGAGTGGGTAGTTGGAATTGGATCTGGTTTTTTTCTTGTTAGTCCCTTTGGCCACTGGGCAGGATCTGGAGCTGGGCAGAATCTGGAGTTCAGTGCTGTCTGGCTCCCAAGCAGGCCAGCCTGGGTGTGAGGATCCTTCCTTGTGCCTCTTGGGTCCATCCCCTGCGTGGAGCCCTGGGCTGGGCTGGGCCTGCCCCGCTGCATGGGACGAGCCTCCCCTCACTCTCTGCGGCTGTTAGCCATATCCCTGCAGCACCTTGGCTGCAGCTCCTCAAGTGTTTCGGCCCACGCCTCTGAGGTTGATGGTGTCAACAGACCTCTTGGCACCAAAGAGGTTTTGGCTGGGGAGAGGTGGAGAACAGGATCTTCTAGTCCCTGAAGAGGCCCCAGTATCTGTTAATCATGGGAACGACATCCGCCTGGGAAGTCAGCCCTTTGGGGACTCTGCTGAGCACAGTGAGGGTACTGCTACCTGGGGCAAACGTCTCCCTGAGACTGTCTGGGAGTCAGGGGGTCTCTGTGTTTTAACCACCCTGCAGTCTTTCCCCATCTCTCCCCTTTACTTTCTCAGCAATGCAGGAAGTGCAGCCCTCCCTGAAGAAATCTATCTATCTCTTCTGGTCTGGGGAAGGAAACCCTGAGTCCATGCTTCCTGATGCAAAACACCTGGACCCCCTCCTGCAGATGGCCCAGCGGCACCAGCCAATCCCCCCTGATAAGGGCTTTCTTGGTACGTGGTCAGGTCTTGGAGGCAAAATTCGCAGTGGTGTTTTTGTGGATCAGTTGGTTACAACACTGGCAAGAACATCTGCTCAGGATGCCAATGGCAGACGTCTGCAGCGGGGCCTGGGGTGTTTGGGATGGGTATTACTCCGGTGTCTGAAGCCTGGCCCTGTGTGGAGCCAGTATCCTGTTGTGTCCTCCATGTGTCCAACAGACCTGATCTACCCAGGGTGAACCCAGCATGTTCTTGGTGCTGCCACATAACAAAGTTTTGTCTCAACTGGCATGAGCAGAGTGTATAAATTTGACTTGTCCCCCTCTCCCGGTTCAGCCAGCTACTAGATTGGGTATGTGACCTTGCCTCCTCATTGCTCTCCAGATAAACTCTTCTACATCTACACCTCTGGCACGACGGGGCTGCCCAAGGCTGCCATTGTGGTGAACTGCCGGTAAGGCTGTGAGCAGGGGCTCGGGGGAGGACGGAGCTGAGCTCTGCCCTGTCCTAGCACAGCACCTCTGGCCCTGCTGCTGACATGTCCCTTCACCTTCCCGCCCAGGTACTTCCGCATGTCCAGCTTAGTTTTTTATGGTTTTCGCATGAGGCCTGATGATGTGATGTATGACTGCCTCCCACTCTACCATGCTGCAGGTAACGTGTGCCGTATGGAGCGCTGCGTGCCGGGACCGTCTCTTCCCCTCAGCCAAGCCCAGGGCTCAGGCTGGAGGCTGGTCCAGCAATCTCCATGTCAAGTAGGAGCTTGCTGTTGCTGGCAGTGTCTGACTGAGGCTTTCTGCTTTTTCCCTGGGAGCCAAGAAATGATCTGGCTGACCTTTGGAGTGGGGAGCGTGTGGAGGGGGGGGTTATCCCAGCTCCTAGCCTGGCTTTGGAATAGCTGTACCTTATTGTTGCTCCATGTGGAAAGTCAGGGGGAAGGGTAAGCGGTGCCTGGCTGGCTGGCTGAGACATGCTGGGACATCTAGGTGCAAAGCGCTGCCCCTGATCTCGCTGCCACGTGTCTCCTCCCTGGTGCCTGTGGTCCTGGGGGCTTTGGCTAGGTGAACACCCATCTGCGGTGAGCCAGCGCATGGCCTCCGCCTTGCCCTGCCAGGCCTCTCCCTGAGAGGGCTGGGCTGGAGGTCTCTGGGGACTGAGGGCTCCCCTGGCTGCCTCTCCACAGGGAACATCGTGGGAGTTGGGCAGTGCCTGCTGCAGGGCATGACGATTGTCATCCGCAAGAAGTTCTCAGCCTCGCACTTTTGGGAGGACTGCGTGAAATACAACTGCACGGTGAGGCTGTGAGGCAAAGAGGCCAGCCAGGACTGGGGAGTGGAGGCTGGGGATCTGTGCCGTACTGGGGAGAGGCCAGCTGCTAGAAGATGGAGAGGCCTGGTCTGGTTCTGCCTGTCCATCCCAAACCAGCTTCCAAGGTGGTGGGGCTGTGTCCTTCCCACCTGGGGTGGTAACTCCACATATCCAAACCCTTCCCGCACTCCAGCATTAGCCAGGAGGTCTTGGATAGGTTTCACAGACTGGAGGAGTGGGTTAACCAGGGAGAGACAGGCGCTAGACGAGCTACTAGAACTCCTGGGTTTTACCGCATCCTCTTTAGGGGACTTTGGCCATGTTGTGCCATTCCTACCTGCCCTGAAGAAATCCCAAACACCCCGGGGTCTGGCGGAGGGGTCCTAGTGAGTCTTTCCATCCCTCCCAGA